CGGAAGCGTCATCACAGTGCTGGGCATTAGGGGTTCGTGACCTCCTTTAGGTGAAATGAGACATGCGGGCAGCGCTCTGACGGATGCCTCGGGCAGGCTGGCAGGATGTGGACGTGTGAGGCCACAGGAGGAGGAAGAGGGAGGGGCCGGGGAGGTGCAGGTCTGTCCAGGTGCAGAGAGGAGCAGAGACGTGGCAGGCGGGCTCTCATGGGGGCCAGGGACTCCTGGACTCAGTGCCACATGCATGCTTTCTGTTTAATGAGGGAACCTAAACGTTCACCTCTTATAGTAAGAGCTCAAAACTTTCTTCTGAAGCAAAGGGGTAATGAAAAAAGTGTCATTTTTGGAACTACGTGTGTTGAGGTCTGATGACTATGAGCTGGGTGATGCTGGATCCGTTAAGGTCTTCAGGGCTGAGGTGGAAATACAATGCCCGTTTTGCAGGGTGTTGTGTGTGTGTGAAATGGGAGGATGTGTCAAGAGCCCACAGGGTGCCCAGTAAATCTCTCTGCCCAGCCCTCTGCACGGCCCATGTCACTGGGGAACGAAGGCCAGGTTTTGTCCAGATAAGCCAGCAGGGAGGCCAGATGTCATTTCTGAGGTTTTTATTTAACTGAGTGGAACTTTTTTTGCAGGAAAAGAAGGTGAAAATTTCCCAAGGGGTTTCTACAAGATTTCCAGTGCTTCCTAAATTAGCCCTAACCAGTAAAACCACGAGCAAAGGCTTCCTGGCAGGGCCTGGCATTTCCATTTCCAGTCCCAACCGAAAGCAGGAAACACTGAGACAAGTCATAATTCACATCTTCAGTTGGCTTCCAAAATTATCCGCCTTCAGGTCCCGGGGCATTTGCGCCAAAGCTCAGAAGTCACTCTGATTGCGTCTTTTCCAGGTTATCGGCTTGTTTTTGACCAAAACCAATTGCAGGTTCCCTTCGAGCGAATGGGAATGTTTCTCCATCTTCGTCATCCCAGCTGAGCAGAGCTCCCTGTGCTGGGATGGCTCCTGCTCAGCGTTGGCAGGGCCGCGCTGAGCCTGACCGTGTCACGTGAACCCGGGCAGGAAGGAAAGGAAAGTGTGCCCTTTGGACTCAGAACACCTGAGTACAGCTCTGCCCTTGACGAGCTGTGGGACCTTAAGCAAGTTGTTTGAATTTTCAAGTCTTGGTTTCCTATTCTATAAAACAAAGAAACCCCACATCCTTTAAGATGACTTCTGTTTAAAAAAAAAGAGAGAACAAGTGTTGAGGACGATGTGGGGATGTTGGAATCCTTCCATTGTGAGCAGGAATGTAATATGGGGCAGCTGCCGTGAAAACCGGTGGTCCCTCAGAAGACTGAACAGAATTACACGCGATCAAGGAACGCCACTTCTAAATATCATTCAGCCACAAAGAAGAATGAAATCGTGCCATTTGCAGGCACACGGACGGACCTAGAGATGGTCATATTAAATGAAGTAAGTCAGACAGAGGAAGACAAATACCATATGATGTCACTAAAAAAAATGATAGAAATGAACTTATTTGCAGACCAGAAATAGACTCACAGACACAGAGAGCAAACGATGGTTACCAAAGGGGAGAGTGGGGAGGAGGGGAGGGATAAATGGGAAGTCAGGGATTAACAGGCACACACTATTGTGTATAAAAGAGATAAACAACAAGGACCTACTGTACAGCACAGGGAACTACATTCGATTTCTTGTCATAACACGTAATAGAAAAGAATTTAAAAAGAAAATATGTGCATGTAGATCTATGTATAACCGAATCACTTTGCTGTACATCTGAAACTAACATTGTAAATCAGCTACGTTTCAATAAAAAATAAAATTAAAAAAAAGGAAAACCACTTCTGGATATATATTCCAAAGAATTGGAAGGAGAACCTAAAAATTTCTGTACACTCATATTCTTAGCAGCATAACTCACAGTAACTGAAATGTAGAAATAACCCAAGTGTCCACTGATGGATGAATAGATAAACATGGTGTATATGATGAAATATTATGCAGCCTTAAAAAAGGAAGGGAATTCTGACATGTGCTACGACATGGGTGAACCCTGAGGACGTTATGCTCAGAGAAACGTCAGTCACAAACAAATATCGTACGATTACATCCTATTTAGCAGATACAGTGGTCAAATTCATAGAGACTGGAAGCAGAATGGGGGTCCTAGGGGCTGGGGCATGGATAATGGATAATGGGAAAGGGGTGTTAGTGTTTCGGTTTGGGGAAAATAGTCCTGGAGACGGAGGGTGGTGATGTTGGCACAACAAGGTGAATGCACGTAATCCCACTGAACTGTACACTTACAAACGATTCAGTGCCAATTTTCTATGTATTTTAACACAATTAAACATTTTTAATGGGGAAGCTCCTTTTTTTTGTCTTTTACCCATAAACAGCGTTCAACCATTACAGTTCTCAGCTATCACAAATCCACTTAGAACTCAATCTTAGGGTCCAGGGAAAGCACACACATCCAAAGGTGGTCATGGGATTTGCCCCCGGGCTGATGTGGCAAATTTCAGTGTATAGAAAACTCTGGCTCTGTCTTTAGGGCATGAACCTTCTCTGGGTGGTCATTCCAGCCTCTGGACACCAGGACACGCAGAGTTTCTGGCTTCTCTGTGAGTGATGCTCAGGTCTGGAGACCAGATCCCCTCCCACGCCGAGCCCCTTCGCACAGAATCTTACAGATCGTATTGCCAGGATAGACGCCCCCGCCGGCCACTTTTCCCCAGCTATTTCCTTACGTTGTGCAATTATTTCTCCCCTTCTTGGCTTTATTTGAATGATTCTGCCTCCTGCAATTCTTTGATCAAAGGAAACTCAGCCAGTAGAGTGAGGAGTGTTTCCATCTTTATCAGATAGATTGCGTGAAGGATGGGGAGCCGGACGGCCGGGTTGCACATGGTGCAAACAAAAGAAAGGGCAGTCCCAGGACAGGGAACACCCTTTTGAGTAAAGACTGGGATGACAGGGTTCCCAGATCATTGCTACTGAGTCAATGGCTCCATTTACCTTTGCAAAAGAAAAAAAAATGTTAGGACCTTTTGAGGCCCACATACTGTCTTATAAAATTGTTTGTATCTGCTAAGCCCAAACTCCTGGTCTACCCCTCCCACCCCCTTCCCTCCCTGGTAACCGTAAGTTTGTTTTCTATGTCTGCCAGTCTGCTGCTGTTTTGTAAATAACTTTATTTGTGTCATTTTTTTAAGATTCCACATATAAGTGACATCATATGACATCTGCCTTTCTCCGTCGGAGTCACTCCACTCACTGCGGTACTTGGGCCAAAATGAAGTCATTTAAAAATTGCAAATCAAAACAGTAGGCCCGAGGCAACTTGGACGGACCTATAGTTTTAATAAATGGGTTTAAAATGTCTTTGTTTTGGTCTAAATGCAGTCAGTGCAGTTGGAGGCGGGGGCCGAGCTCAGGGCAGATCACCCGCCCCTTCCGACCCGGAGCTGCTCTGACCTCGGGTCCAGGCTCTGAGTATGGTGGGGAGGGTGTGCCGTGATGTGTTTCTCTGCTCCTCCTGGAGAATTCTGAGTGCAGACAACTGGACGCTGGTGCCCGCAAAAGCAAGGCCGCTCCCCCAGAAAGCTGTCTTGGTGTGGAAAGTGCATGTCTGGGCTGGGGTGGGGGGCCGGGGTGAAAATCACAGGGCGTGGGGCTGGAGAATGCTGTCCCTCCCAAGCTGAGGTTGGGGATGGATGGTACCCATGTTAAAACAAGGATTAACCCTGAGAGGGCCCAGCCTGCAAGGCGGGCCCACGACCAGCAGGGGGCAGTCGGGACTGGGTCCTGGAACCAGCCAATCAGAGCGCACAGGTGGACCCGGAGCCCAGTCTAGGTGAGAAACTAAGGACGGATGCTGAGAAGGACCGCCAGTGTCCCCAAGTCAGCGGGCGACAGTCCAGCATCTCTGCACTCTCGGGGGGTTGAGGGGTGTCCCACGGCCATCTCAGTCCTGCATTTGGGGGGCAGGTCTGCAGGGGCATCATCCCCGTTCAAAGGGACAATGGGGGTTGGAGGGACCGGGCCAGGAAGGAGGCAGGTGCTGATGGAAAATGTGACTCGTGTGCCCTGTGCTGTGTTCAAAGCCCTGGTGACTAACGTCTGCCTGCCCCGGGGGTGGGGAGGTGACTCCAGGTGGAGGCGGGGGCAGTCAGGTCAGCGGGGCATGGTGTGACCAGCCCATCTCGGTGACCCGCTCCTCCGGCCGCGCATCCCGCCTGCGAGCGAGGGCCTGGACCAAGACTGAGGATGGAGAGCGAACAGGCTCAGATGGGCCCACGACAGCACCAGCCCCGCCTACGTGCCCACCCCCCCAAGTCGGAGCCCGAGCCCCCCGCAGCACCCAGTGGCATGTCTCTCCCCTCACACCGGCGTCCCCACTTAACTTGTCTCTCTGTCCCCTGGATGATGCTGGGAACGTCTGGGAACCGCCAGAAAGGTGCTTCTGTCTGTTTCTCGGGCTCACCCCATCCTGCAGAAGCAGGTGAGCCACGTGCGGAGGGAACGGTGGCATGTGGTGCCCAGGGTGGCCGGGCCTACGTCCTGAGCTCCGGGAGAGGCTGGGCACAAGCCCTGGGGCTCCAGGGAAGCCCGCGTTGGAAGAAAGAGGGGATGGTTGTTCACATCCAGGAGGCTCCGAGCACCCGGGGGCCACAGACAGGAGCCACTCCTGTTAAAAGGTCCCAAAGTTTAATTGTGGTACCTTAGCTGCCGCTGAGGGGTCCCACATGGACAGGCAACTGGCGAACCTTACTGTGCATTTCTCTGAAGAAACTGTCTTTTTGAAGGGCTGGGATCTGTTTTTCAGGAACAAAACCTTTTCAGACATTTTCGCAGAATCTGAGAAAGGCTTTAAAGCAGAAAATTAAGGTGGTTTCCTGCCAAGGGGGAGAAGAAAATGGAATAAAGCCAGCTCTTTGCTTTGGCCACCATCATGTCTTTAAAAAAAAATACTTTATAGATTGTGGCATTTTTCAATACCATCCCTAATTTGGTGATTACAGAATAAAAAGCAGAAAACGTGTTTGTCCCAGAGCGCAGAGCTTTCAAATGGCAGAGTTCGGGCTGGAATGCGGTGTCTCCAGTCCGACAGGCGGGGCAGCCGGCATGGGAGCGCGGATTCTGGACATCTCTGCTGGCCGACGGCCATAACTCACTGCGTTTCCAACGAGACGGCAGGACAGGCCTTCCGTGAAGTGAGTCAGACCGAGAAAGACAGATGCCATATGATGTGACTTATACGTGGAATCTAAAACATGACAGACTTATTTACAGAAAAGAAACAGACTCACAAACAGAGAAAACAAACTTATGGTTACAGGAGCCGGGGAGAGGTGGAGGGGAGGGATAAATTAGGAGTTTGGGATTTGCAGATACAAACTATCTTATATATATACATATAATAGGTCTAACTGTGTAGTGCAGGAAACCTCATTCAATGTCTTATAATAACTTATGATGAAGAAGAAATACATCTATTACTGAACCTCTTTGCTGTACACCGGAAATCACACATTGTAAATTAACTATACTACAATTTAAAAAAAAATTGTTAGAAGCAGTTTTCGTCTCGACCTGCACGCTCTTTGCTGGGAAAGTCACTGCCATTTGCAGGTGAGCCAGGGCTGGGTGCCTGGCTGGTGTTCCCAGGTCGCTGGATCCACCGGGATCCACCTGCTGTCACTCCCTCTGCCTCACTGCTCCGGCTCTGCCTGCAGTCTACCGAGTTCAAATGTAACTCAGACATTTCCCCACCTTCTTCCCTCATTGACCCCTGCCCCCTGGCCGCAGACCGGCCCTTCCGGAGGGCGGTCAGAGGTGGAGGCAGCTTCCAGGCCAGCCAGCCCAGCCTGATGCCTTTTCAGATGGAGATGTGGGGCCTGGGATGGGGGGGGGAGTTGCTGTCTGGGTACCAGCCTCTTGCGAGCAGGAGATGTTACCAAGACACTTACATCAGTCACACTTGACATCGAAGGAGCAGATAAATAAACGATGCTGAAGAGTGTCGGAGAGGTGGGTCCAGAGGTCTCGTCTCCTAGCAACGTGTCTCCCTGACACCGCCCTGCCTCCCAGCAGCATCACAGTCTGCACTTACAGGCTGTTGCACGTGGCAGACGTTACTGTATTTCGCTTCCACGACACCCTGTGACAGAAATATTGCCCGCGTGACACTTGACTTTCCTACACTCAGAGAAGTGAAGTCACTTGCCCAAAGTCACACAGGACACGACGGAGCTGGCGTCGGGGTCTTTGCGCCTGCTAATTGTTGCCTCCTGCTCATGCAAGTGGAGTGTGCCCTGAACGTCCGCGAGGCGTTGCACCAGCCACTGCGCCACAGGGGGAGCAGGTGGCGATGCCTTGTTTCACCAAACTTTCCCATCAGCGAGTGATTTCATTGGGTCAAATCGGAGTGTGTGTGTGCAAACCGACCGGGGAACTACGCAAATCTCTCCTTATCTGGGCGGTCTCTGCTGTGCAATAGCTCTGTCCCCAGCCCGAGCCGGAGGGGACACTCAGTGGCCTCACCAAGCAGCCCTTGTGCAACGCGCTGCATCAGAACCTACTTACCCAAGAGCAGCCCGGAGGAGTGTGCGGGCCGGAAGGCGGCATGCTCCCAGCTCCCGGGGCGAGAAGCGCTTGATGGAGACAGGAGGTCACAGACTCCCCTGCTGCTCACCCCGGGGCGCTGGGGCGAGTCGCTTCAGCCCTGGGCCTCCTCGGGGTCCACTCTTTAAAGTGTCAAATACATTCCTGACCGTCCCTCTGCGTAAGTGAGTGTCAAATGTGCTGGAGCTACTTCACCAGGGGCACAGGGATGGAGCATAATCCCCAGTCACACCAGTGTGTCTGCCTGTGTCCTGCCACGCATGGGGCATCACAGCCCCAGAGATGGAGCTGGGGGCCCGCTGCCCCCGGGAATCAGCGCGACCTGTTGTCTGTTTCATGTTTCTCCTGTCCATCCCTTCCCCCAACCCCCAAAGCCCACTTGTAAGCTCCTGTTTTGTGTCATTAGAAACAATGTGCACATATTATAAGAAACAACGTAGGTTTCGAGTATTTGTGGCATCTCTGTTTGTGAAACGGGCACAACAGTGCCCAGATCACAGGGTGTGGTGGAGAGTGAGTGAGTTTGTAAAGGAGCAGACAAACTGTGTTTCATCACAAAAGGTGGCTTTTTTTTTTTTAAATTTATCTTTCTTTAAATTGAAGTATAGTTGATTTACAATGTGTTAGCTCCTGGTGTCCAGCAGAGTGATTCAGTTATACATTATGTATTTTTTTCATATTCTTTTTCATTTTAGGTCATTACAAGAAATTGAATATGGTATGACATTCTCCAGGTCCATCCATGTTGCTGCAAATGGCATTATTTTATCATTCTTCATGGCTGCATAGTATTCCATCGTGTGTTGTATCTCTATGTATCCTGCATCTTCCTCATCCAATGTTTGATATTTTTTAGGTACCATTAATGTTTTTCAGAGCTTGAAATAATTTAGTAGTTTTTAATATGAAAGTCTCTGTTTCACAAAAGTAACACATGATTTGTATTCCTATTTAGAAAAGAAAATTGCAAACATAAATCGTGATATTTGATGAAGGAAAACTAGAATTAATACAGTGAATGCCAATGATCATGCAGCTTCTGTGTGACAAGAAGTGGGACCAGTCCGGTGCCTCAGCTGAAGCCTGCTTCTCACCCCGCCCCACGGGCCCCTCCATCATTCAGCCACGTGCTCTCCTGGTGAACATATTCAAAAGTGTAAGAGTTGGCCTGAAGATACCGTTCCTTCATTCTCTCTTTCATTCATTCATGTGATAAACATCATTAAAAACCTACCAAGGGGGAAATACTGTGCTTGGGGCTTAAGATTTTTTTACACGACAGAGCAGAGGTCCAGCACCGATAGCCAGTCTGATGTGGAGATGGCGGGGGGGTGGTCTGTGAGCTACCACGTGGGCGTCCCTGGGATGGAGGGTGGCAGGTCCCTTGGGGATGGGAGCTGGGTCTCCCATGCCACCTTCCTCCTTCTGTGCCCTCGCTGGCTGGAGCTGTCCATTTGGGCAAGTGCGGCTGAATGCAGCCCCCCTTAAGGAGCCACGAGAAGTCGGTGAGGTGTGTCCCAGACCCCCTGTTCCAGAGGGAACGAGGGGCGACCCAGGAGCCACCTGCAGCGTCACACAAAAGCAGGCTGGCATCGGGAGGCGTCCACCAGCACACACACACTCTGGGCTCCGAGTGACCCTGAGACCTGTCACGGTCCCCCCCGGGCCCGGGGTCACCTCCCAGGCCGGGGAAAGCTGAACCGGGCCAGCAAGGCAGTTTACCATCCCCGGGGAAGGTCCCGGGGCCCAGCGGTCAGCATGCCCGTGCCCACCTTCCTGTGCCTCCCTCCTCGCTTGGGCCTGCCCCCTGCCATCCTGTCCTGGGTTCTGCATCAGAATGATACTCTGTAGGCCACATGTCACAGTAGAGTCTGCAGCCCCTTTTCACGTGTGTGGGGTCCTGGCCAGGACACTGGGGATGCGGAGGAGAGGCCGGCAGGCCCCGGGCATGCGGTGGGCATGGAGGGTGTTTAGATTCCTAGTTGACAGGTGCACTCGTGCGACATGCTGGAGGTGACAAGGTCAGAGGGCAATGGCTCTGCCTGTGAAGCCACCGCCTAGTGGGGGAGGAACGCAGATGCGGAAAGAGATGGTACCCAGCAAGCGAGGATGGGGGATGAGAGGCCACCCGGAGGGGCGGCCTGGGACTGGCCTGAGGAGCCGGAGGGGAGGCCCACTCGGAGGGAGGCCACGGCAAGGGCGGCCCGGTGGCTTTGGAAGGGGAATGGAGGGGCCAGAGCCGGGCGCACAGATGGGACGTGAACCGGGTGATGCGGGGGCGCCAGGGAGGAGGACCAAGCTACGTCCTGCTGCGTCCAGCCAGGACGGACCCGGCGGCTTCCCAGGGTGAGGGCCGGTCTGTGGTCACTGGACAGACGCTGGGGGGACTGGATCAGGCAGGGGGAGGGGAGGGGAGGGGAGAGGCGCCGTCCAGCGGGCGGGGGGACAGGCGACAGGGGGGCAAGGAATCTGCCCGGGCAGCGGGGAGGCCGGGCCGGGGGACCCCTCCCTCCCTCCGGTTCCAGACGGGTGCTTATCTCTAAATCAAGCACGCAGCAGGGCCAGGGTGCATATCTTCAGGGGCCTCCAGAGAGTTGGAAACCACATCCGTACCTTGGCTTCTGCACCAGAGGAACTGGCGGAGCTGGAGAGCCCCTGGGCGCCGCCAGCTGCCTCCGCTTCCTCCGCCGGCCTCCGCCCCC